CCCGGGGCCATTTTCTTCATCCCCAGCATCAGATTTGGAGAAGTTCTCAGATCTTCCTTACATTCTTAAAACTAAAGTCTTGTTTTCTTTAGGAATGCCTTCCTTTAGGCTAACTGAAGTCTATCCTAATGCAACAGCAGGTCATGGTTTCAAAATGTTAACTTTTGTGAAGAATAGAACATAACTGCCCCCCTCCTTAGGACAGAAGTTCTCTGCCTATTCTTGATATGAAAGTCTTGGGGATTGAAGTGCCTACTAACCCATCCTCTTTAAAGCATTATTGGCTTGTGCAAATGGAACTGTTTGATTAGCACTAGAATAGTGAGAGGCCCCTTCCTGTCTCCAAGCCCTATTCCATGCTCCAAGGCCACCCACATGCTCTGCTACTTTACATTTGCCCTGCAATCTTTCATGCCAGTTGACTTTTCATCTCCAAATCCCTTTTCACATTAAACACAAACCCACACACTCTGTCCCATTTTCCTTTGAAATAAATCATAAGCCCATGCCAGAAACGACTCAGGGTGTTCTCTGGAATTTGTAAACAGCATTAAAGTCTTGTGGGAAATGTCACAGAGTGTTGGCCTGAATTTATTAAGTAATTTCTCAGCTTAAAATATATCTTTCCAGCCTGCTGTCTGACAACATTTACCTCTAATGGAATTTTATCCACTCTTGATCACTGAGCACACTCCCATCCGAGAGAGCCAGTACACAAGCTTCTCCTCCTTGGCTCTCAGTTGGGTTGACTTCAGACACACCAGCCATATCCCCACCTTCCAGAATCCCTTTGGAGCTCTAGGAGTGTCCAACTCCCCTGGATTTCTAGGGGTGCTGGTATGCTATCACATGGTAGACATGTGACTGTAACTAAATTTAAAAAAAAAAAACCATATTAACCAGCCATATTCAATTCATACCAGTGGGAAGCCCAGTGAATGTCTCAAAAAAGGTTCATCAATGTTCATCAGCCCAATCATCTCCTGCTAGGCCCTACTTCTTAAGAGTTCCCTCTGCCTTTCGATACTGTTACACTGGGGACCAAGTTGAGACAGAGACAGAGACAGAGACAGAGAGACAGAGAGAGACAGAGAACAAGTCAATAGCAGAACTGGGATGCCAACTCTGTACAATTCCAGATAAATATACTCATGCTATTTACAATAACACTGTGGAATACTGAACAAAACGGTTTCAAACAAGTCATCCAAGCCTGACTTTTCCTCTTCAAGCAATTTTTATCTTTAAGCTCTCTGTTATAGAAATGTTGGCACTATTTTGACCTCTGGCTATAATCAGTCAGTTGAATTACACATTTGTAAAGAATAACTGTTTTGTGTAAAGTTAAAATGGAGAGAGGAAACAAAGAGACTGTCATTTACATCCTTCTGAAATCCATCCCCTCTATCTGTGACCTCCAACCTATTAGGTTCCAGGGCCTGTCCTGTGCTAATACAGCATCTGTCAGGGCCTGGATTAGACACAATACTCTAAGCTCATGGAATTAATTCTAAGCCTGCCGCAACACTGAATGTTAGTTTTTCTTTACTCTACAATATAGAATAGATACTACAGCATATTGGGGAGGAAAAAAATTCCAGACCCTGGAATTGCACAGAGGTAGCATCCTAACACTGCTATTGACTTACACTTTCTCTCTGTTTCTGTCTGTCTCTCTGTCTGTCTCTCTGTCTCTCTCTGTCTCTCTCTGTCTCTCTGTCTCTGTCTCTCTATCTCTCCGTCTCTGTCTCTCTCTGTCTGTCTCTCTGTCTCTCTGTCTCTGTCTCTGTCTCTCTGTCTCTGTCTCTCTCTGTCTCTCTGTCTCTGTCTCTCTCTTTCTCTCTCTCTCTCTCTCTCTCTCTGTCTCTCTGTCTCTCTCTCTCTCTCTCTGTGTGTGTGTGATCTTAGACAGTGTTATGGTTTAGGCATGGTTTGAGTGTATCTCCCAAAGGTGTATATGCTGAAAGCCTGGTCCCCAGCCTAACAGTATTGAAAGGTAGGGCGACTCTTAAAGGAGGTGGGTCCTAGCAGAAGTGACTGGGTCAGAATAGTTGGTAGTGAAGACATCGATGCTGGCCTTGTGGGATGGGTCAGATTTCACAGGAGTAAGTTAGTTCTTAGCTGAACAGGTAATTATAAAATAACAAGACTGGCCCTCTCACCTCTTACTTCCTGTCTTGTCAGGTGACCTCTCTGTGTATGTGCTCACTTCCCTTCCGCTTCTCTCCCACGGTAAGATACCGCCAGAAAGCCTGCCCCAGATGCCAGCAGCATGCTATTCCAATTTCTTGCCACCATAACTATGAATGAAAGAAAACTCTTTTATCTATATATTACCAGAGTCAGCTATTGCATTATAGCAGCATAAAAGGGCCAAAAACAGATTACTCAACAATTACTCCCTGTGTCAGTTCCCTTATCTATATAATAGTAATAGTATCAGTGCCTACTCAGAGGGTTATTCTGAAAATTAAAATGTTACATATGCTACATAGGATGTCTAGTTATTCTTAAATAATTATTCATCATCAATAGTATTATTTGTGACTATTAAAGATGCTTGCTGATATATTTTATTCTCTGCCTTTGTTTCCTCCTCCTCTTCTTCCTCCTCCTCCATCTTTATCACCTCCTCCTCCTCTTCTTGCTCATTTTCTTCTAATTGGATATACTACTTTGGTCTCTGGTGACTGAGGATAGTCTCTGTAGCTGGTCTTTTAGGCTGAGAGACAGCCTATACTAGCCTTCAAACGGATCTCTCTTCTTTGTACACCTGCCTTGATGAAAGAAACTTCAGCTCCCAAGGGGTTTGCATTCTGGAATATAAGGTAAAAACTGCCCACCCTGCCTTCTCTCCAAAAAAAAAAAAAAATGACTAGACAAGCCAGCAGCCTTCAATGTGTGAGGGACCAGGGCCAAGGAAGTTGAAGGTCTTAGTGAAAACTGAAAGGAATTTCAAATAGCCAAACTCAGGACAAAAATTAAAGTGACAGTTAATCAGATTACAAAAATACCTAAAACATAGTAAGGAACAAGAAATCTGAGAATATGTGTGTTTGTTTGTGTGTATCTGTGTGTTAAAACCCCAACTAGGACAGAGATAAACTAAGAACAGAATTTGAAATTCAAAAGATTTTTTCCCCCCTCTTTGGTCATTGGTCTTGAACTTGGGGCCTGGGCATTATCCCTGAGCTCTTTTTGCTCAGGACTAGCAGTCTACCACTTTGAGCCACAGCTCCACTTCTGGCTCTCTGGTGGTTACTTGGAGATAAAAGTCTCAGAGACTTTCCTCTCCAGGCTGGCTTTGAACCATGAGCCTCAAATCTCAGCCGCTTGAGTAGCTAGAATTACAGGCGTGAGCTACCAGTATCCAATTTCAAAAGTATTTTTGTTGAAATTTTTGTTTTGTTCTAGAACATATGTACTATTTGAGTATGTCTCTTCTCTGCTCTAAGAATACACCTACTAAATAGATGGAGAAAGCAAAGGCATATGCCAAAAATGTTTCCTCTGGGGTTCCTTTTTTACTGGACTCAAACAGGGTTGATAATCACAGTTGTCCTATTTGATAACATCACCTCAAACATGTTACAATTGATTTGATTACAAATTTCTTCACATTTTGATTTGGGAAGATGGGAGACACACTTATTTCCTTGAGGAGATTTGCACATTTTTCTGAGTGTATTTACAGAATCACAGTGGGCTGGTTATATGTATTCCAACTTCATTCCCTTTTTAGTGGAGAAGATGGCTTTCTCACCTTTTAACTGAAGTCTAAAGGATATTTTGAGCAGTTGGAAAACAAAATGAACCATCCATTTATTTGTTTGCCTCATGCTTGGTATTTTTAATAAGTGTAAAGAATTATGAGATGGTTTAAAGTGTTTACTCTGCCTCTTAAACTCTGATTAAGCAGTGGAGTGAGAGAATGTTCCTACATGTCTAGACAAATGCTCAGGCAGCAGGCACAGGCAGAAAATAAGACTGTATGCTGAACAGGCAAAATGAGAAAGCCTGACCTGAGGTCCGTGACCTCCACCAGTTAATGAGCAAAACTACAGGAACAACAGAGAACAGGATGACAGAAAAGAAGGTCAAATGCAAACTGGCCAGAGCTGAAAATAAACCTAGGATTAATTATGAATGAATTAAACCTACCAGCTCAAATTAAATAGCCAATTTTACACTTGACATTTTACAAGTATTTTTATTAGTTACCATTTTTATGTATGCATGTGTGCTCTCAGAGATTATTCTATTTGTCTTTCTTAATATTCATTAAGAAATTCCCAATTCCTTGAAAAAAAATTCATGTGATACATCCTATAAGCAGAACTGGTTTTGTGAGGCACGGGCCTGTACAGTTGTTCTAAAAACTTGGTCTGTGGCAGTCACTGGGAGTTTGGGCAACAATGCAGAATGGCAGTATTACATATAAACATCTCAGTTAACTCTGAGGAGGACTACAGCTTGAGAAGCATCACCCCGGAAAACAACTCCAGGAAATGGTTCCTCTTCCTACACGTGACACCTGAGCCATGTAACTGTTCCTTAGAGCTTGCACTCTCTCTGTCTTTGATTTATTCACACTTAGGGATGCATTAATATACAAGGGAAGTCATCAGGCTAATGTGAAGAAGCCCTTGAGATGTTATCTTGACCCTCAAGCTACTTACTTGGAAAACCAAACAGAAACAGGAAAAGACAGTTGGAAGTGAATTATTAATACAAGACACCTGGGGATGTCATAGTTTAGCACATGCAGAGTTCATACGGTGAAAACTAGGGCTGTAGTGCCAGGGCAGGCTTCGTGACACAAATGACAAGTACTTAGGAGAGACTGACAGAGTGAGAGAAGGTTACAACTTCACTTGCAGAGCAATGATCAGGGTCTCTCTCCTTGCAGTACTAAGATGCTAATTAAAATTACCTTCAGTTCCCACAGGCACTATCTAGTTAAAGCTCAAGAGGAGGAATTTTTTTTAAAGCCCATAAAATTTAGTACCAACTTAATTTTTATTCATTGTGAATCAATGCAGAAACCAGAATAGACCTAACACATCGTTGCTGAGTGTGTTTTGGAATCACGACACATCCTTGGCTTAAATCAGAAAGGTGATAAAATTAAAGAGAAGGTCCCAGGTCTTCACTCCCACTTGTGGTTGTAGTTCTGTCCTTTGGTGTCTCCTTACAGGAATGGCTACAAGAACAGGAAGTTGGCAAAAACCCAGTGACCTGTGTAGGAAAGTCAAGTCTATAGCATATATAAGGGTATGTGATAGAACCATCCTCAGATATGGGTGACCAAGGCCTCTGCCCTTAGCAGCTTAGAGTTCCTTGTGATACTCTTGCACCCCTTATATCCCTGTTTGTGAGTGAATACTCCACAGGGTACAGAGACATGCCCAGCAAGAGCCTCCCTTCTAAGATGGTACTCTGGTATGTGGAACACTGGAATTCATTGCTTTTCTCATGCCTCTTCCCCAGGTCCATATCCCAAGGTATAGAGTGTTCCCAGGCCTAGGAGTATGAACAGAGCATGGGAAAAATTCATGAGGGAAGGGTGAGGGAGAATGGAATCAACAAAAGGAAGGAAAAGAAGACAGCTCATGGGGACTTAGTTTCTATGCTTACCTGAGCTATGAAAATATTAGGAAAGGACACCAAAGATCCTCAGCCTCTTGGAAATTGTGGCAACCTTCTCTTTATTCTACCTGCACATACCAAATATTAGCAGGTCATGTGACACCACAGTTCACTCATCCACATCCATGGGGAGCAGCAACTGTGTGCTCCATCCCTGAGGGAGGAGTAAAACTCTCCATTCTCTGGTCCCAATGACCTGTGTAATGAGTAAAACTAGAAAATGTCTGTCAATGCATAACTTGGCCCTTAGCCATTTCTCCTTCTGGTAGGGATCAGAAGGAAGCTCAAGGCTTTACCACCCTGCCATGGGTCTATCTGTACATTCCACCTGGGTAGAACGGAGTACAAAGGCTGCATCTGGCCTTAGGTCTAACGTTGTCCTCCATCTTAGCAGCAGTCATGGGCTCTCCGTCAGAGCTCACACAGCCTACGCATGTGCAAATGGACAGGCAGCTCCAGCAATGCCAAGTCGGGGATGCACCATGGAGTCTGAAGGTAAAAAGGAGATAGGAAACAGTTTAGGGAAGAAAACAGTCTGCACAATGGATGAAGAAACACTGAGAACAAATTGTATAGAGCAACCTGGATGGCAGCAATTGAGGAAAACAAGTTTATCTGGAAAGAGCCTAGGAAGGAAGGGACTGCAATAGGAAATGGAAGTGTGGAAAATGGTACCTGTGGGATTTAACCTAAGTCGTGGAGCAAAGCAAGAACATGTTCCAGAAAACCCAAGAGGATTTCTAAGGGGAAGATAGCCTGTTTCACAAATGAGGACTGGATTCTCCAGGAGGGTCCAGTGATTCCAAGGACCCAGAATGGCTGAAAGTATAAGGCTCATCCTGTAACTGAAGTTTGGGCATGCTTGACTTGTCCAAATGACACCACATTACTTACCTACCTGGAGCTCTCCTCACTCTGAGGAAAGGGTTGGGTGGATGCAGCTGTCTGAACAGTGTCTATTTGATGTAACCACAGTGGAGAGCTGGGCCACAAGCTTAACATTCTCCTAGTTACTGTGGCTGGAGGCCATGAAGGCAGCCAGAGGGGACAAGCAGGTACTGCCAGATGCTCAGTCCTTTCATGTGTGTTTTTACTTATCCAAATTAAACAACAGTTTGGCAAGATAGATTGTTGACTTTTGTTTAGTTTGGCTTAGAATTTCCTGTTCCTACCTTGGCTGAAATGAAGGCACCTTAACCTATCATAAAACTACACATTTGGAATGGTCTGTGCTCAAAGATAGAAATATGAATATAACAAAGCCATGGAAGATGTGGAAATGGATAACAGAATGAAATAATTAAATGGTGCTGAGGCAAGATAGATTGGGAGAAATGAGGTATGGTAAATAGCAGCCAGGAATTCAAAAACTCCGCTTAAAGCAAATACAGGAGACTGATCTTCACCTATCAATTTCCCTTAAGATTAAGGGCCTAAAGTTGGTTTAGGAGAATATGAGGCAGGAGAGATTAGGAAAAATGTGGCCTGGAGAATGACATCCAGGAACCCAGAAACAAAGTATTTAGAAGCACTATTCTCTGTGCTTCTAAATACACCCTTTCTGAGAGACAACAGGATGCACTTCTTATTTTAAGGATAAGCATCTGTTTTATGGCAAGATGCATTCTTTCCTGGAAGGAATGCCCATGCATTCAAGAGTGAGTCACAATCATGAATATCCGTGGGGTAGGCAACAGGAACTAACTCAGAAAGTGTAACCTCGGGAGTGATTAAGAGCAAAAATTAAAAAAGCAAAACAAAACTATCTTTGTATAACTCTAAGCCAGACCCTTCCTTTACCATATAAATGTCAAAGAGCTCTAGGCATCTCTATTTGAACACCCACATTCTACCTGTTAGTGTGACGCCACCTTTCTGCTAGCCTGCTTACTCAATAAAGCTCTTCCAAGTTTTCTAAGAAATGTGACTTGTCCAGAAATTCTTATTCTGCAATCAAAGTCAAAGACCCTAGGTGAAGAGTTTCTACTTTTAGAGGGAAACTTCACAAACCCTCAACAGGACCCAGTGGCAAGTATCATTCAAGAGAAGAAATTTTAAATGGGAATTAAAAAAATGTTGAAAGGGAGGGGGACAATTTTTTTTTATTGTGAAAATACTGTACAGAGGGGTTACAATTACATGGGCAAGATAATGAGTACATTTCTTATGGAGCATTGTAGCCTCCTCCTTTGTTTCCCCTTCCCATCCTCCTCCCCCCCCACCTAATTCTCCCTGCCCCCCCCCACACACCAAAGTTGTAAAGTTTGTTTTTGACATAAGGACTTGTACATCTCATTGTTGCAATGGGACCACCTGTATCCCTATTTAAACGATTGGTTTTTCCCCCTTCCCTCCACAAATTATAACAACATTAAATACAGTGAAAGCACAGGTTATACTGTGGGGAAGGGACATACAAAGCAACAAAGTAATAATCTTATAAATGTGTTAGAAACAATCGCATGAAAGAAAAAAAAAACATTTGAATACATATCGTAGGGTTCATTTCCCTAGCATCAACTTATCTGACCTTTTCTGCTTGACTCAGACATATACTAGATATTGCAAATAAGGGAAACCATGGGACCTATGTTTCTTTGGGCCTGGCTTACTTCACTTCATATAATTTTTCCCAAGCCTTTCCATTTCCTAACAAATGGGGCAATGTCATTCTTTCTGATGGAGGCATAGAATTCCATTGTGTGTATATACCACCTTTTCTTGATCCATTCATCTACTGAGGGGCATCTGGCTTGGTTCCAGATCTTAGCTATGGTAAATAAGGCTGCAATAAACATAGTTGTGCTGGTAGCTTTAGTGTGGTCTTGTTTATAAACATTTGGGTAAATGCCCAAAAGTGGGATTGCTGGGTCATAGGGAAGCACTATGTGGAATCTTTTGGGGAACCTCTATACTGCTTTCCAAAGTGGTTGAACAAGTTTACACTCGAGGGGGACAATTTTTATAAAAATAGAAAGGAAGGAAGGACATCAACAAATAGATTCAGCCAGCTTTCCCCCTCCCCCACTAGAGGTCACCAACCAAGGGAGGGTCTGGAGTCTTACCAGAATCCCCCCTCCTAAAAGCCCCATGCAGGGTAGAGCTGTAGGTCCTGCCATGTCTCAGGCCAAATCAGAAGATCTGTGCTGTTTCAAACAAACCAATCATAATCCCAGTCCAGCCCACCATTCTGTGAGCACCTTGCTGGAGGGTCTGCTTGTTTCAGATACACCAATCATGATCTGACAGATTGCCTGAAGGGAGAAGAGAAAAGTGAGGAGGATAGGGGCAACATAAAGCAACAGCCCAGACCAGGCAGGAAAACTGGTTTCTGGGTCCCCATGCTCATTCTCCTGAGTGGCCTTTACTTCTTACTAAATGAACTCTTTAAAACTGTGCTCATCAATCCTGGTCTTATCTTGATACTAGTGGAGAACAAGTACCCACCATATTCATGTATATACTCATGTATTGTGTATCAGGAGAGAGGGAGGAAAGGAAAGAGGAAAAGAAGAAAAGGAGAAAGGAAAGAATGGAAGAAGGAATGGAGGGAGGGAGAGAGAGAGGAAAGGAAAGAGGCAAGGAGAGGGGAAAGGAAAGGAAGGTAGGGAAGGAAAGGAGTAGAAAGAAGTATGCAAGGATGGAAAACAATTGAGTACCTACATAGGGAGTAGAGAAAGGAAAGGGAAAATAGATGTACTATAACTAAAACTATCCTCATCTGCATGAAACAAGATATTTGCATTTCATTCAATGTCTTTCTGGTTGTTTTGTTTTTAAAAAGTGGCAGAGAATGTCAGACAGCTGTTTTGCAGCTTCTGCCACTTTGTCAAAGCCAGCCCGTACAGCCTGACTGCAGGCAGACCAGACAGCTGTGCTGATGGCAAGGCACTCAGGGAGCAGATGGGCCGCGTCTGCAGGCAGTGTCCCAAGGATCAGTGTCTGGTGCCCATCACTCACCTGAGCCAAGGCTCAGAACCAGGATCCCCGGGAATGTTGCCGAGAAGAGAAAAGCAAATGTAGCATCTTTTCTCAGTCTTTATTAAAAATAATCGAATGCTATGATAATATTCTCTCAGTAAAATCCCACAAAATTCCAAGGTGATATAGTCTAAGGCCCATGCTTGGTCCTAAATTCACTGTTTCATCTCTGAAAAAATCTGTTTCTCTATTTTTAGAAGAATTACAATATGTCACAGATTAAATGAGGTAAGAAGGATAGACAGGCTGAAATATAGTAGGCCCTTGATAAAGATGTCTTTAAAAAACATAAAGTGGGTGCACCTGAAGCTACGATCCAAGGATCACAGTTCAAAGCCAGCCCCAGAAGTTGACTCGATGAGATGAGACTCCAATTAGTTATCAAAAAGCCAGAAGTGGAGCTGTGACCCAAGTGGTAGGCCACCAGATTTGAGCAACAAACTAAAAGGACAGAGCCTAGGCCCTGAGTTCATGCCCCAGTACTGGAGTGCGTGCGCGCGCGCACACACACACACACAACCATATTTGCAAAAAAGCTAAGTTAGATAATGGATGGATGGATAATGGATGATAGAAGTAGAGGTGAAGTCAGAGATCCAAAAGACCTTCAAATGAACTTTTGATTTCTGAGAAATGCAAGAAATATTTCACACTCCCATTCTATCCTCCTACTCCCTGTCAGTAGCAAGACCACTTGGAAATCACAAATGTGACTCTCTTTTTACCTCCCTCCCAAATCCACCCTCAGTAACATGACTCTTCACTCTCCTGCCCAGCCTGACAAAAGATCTGTATCCAACCTGGTGGGGGATCCTGAGGATGGAGCGTGCCCCTGGCAGACAATTAGATGTGATTTGAGGGTTTCCATCACATGATGGCCTATTCCCCACCTCTGAGAAGTACAGTACTTTGTGGTATGTTATATTGGGTGGGGTAGAAGACAATTGGAAGATGAGCTGAGAATCTCCATAGCAACAAGAGTAAAAGGGAAGAGGGCAGCTGGCTTATATCTCCCTCACAAGCTACCATGATCTAAGGTCAAGGGACCTGAATTAGGGACCTTTCCTTACAAGATTCCTGGTAGTCAATCAGCTCATCTGCATCTTCATCTTCATCATCCTCCCTGTACAGCAGAAGAGCCCATAAGACTGAAAGACCCTAGTATATGTTCTGCCACTAGGTCCCCCAGAGAACTTGCTGACCAACCCCCCCTTCCGCGAAACTAAGCCTCCACCAAAGAGGGCAAGGCAGGATGTTGTGGTTAAACCGTTAAACCGGGAATAGGGAACAAAAAGTCTCTGAGTTAACAATTAAAGGGCGAGTACAGACACGTCAGCTAACTCAACTGCCTGTGGAAAGCCCCACCGCTAACCCCTAAGTGGACCTTGCCTAACCCGTTCGCCTGACTCAACCCTACCAATCCCCACCCTAATCAACCATGCATCTCGCTTCTGTAACCCTGCTTCCAGCTGCCCATAAAAGAGGGTGCTCTCCTGTGCCCCGGCGCGCAAGTCTCCCGATAGACTTTGTCGCCCCGGGTACCCGTGTAACAGGTTCCCAGCCACCGACCCGAACCTTGTGGATCTTGAGGTCGTGTGTACCTGGGAGTCTGGGGCATGCCCGAATAAACCTCTTGCTGATTGCATCCGCACAAGTGGTCTCGTTGTTCCTTGGGAAAGGGTCTCTCTAGATTGAAAGGCACCCCACCCTGGCGGGGGTCTTTCATCTGGGGGCTCGTCCGGGATAGAGACCCCCACCCAGGGACCACCGACCCATTTTCGGGAGGTAAGCTGGCCAGCATCTGTGTGTCGTCTGTGTGTCATCTGTGTACTGTCTGAAGTCTTGTGTGGCCAATTTCTGTGCGCTTGCGAATCTGGTGAGTTCGGCCGTACTCGTCCGTATCTGGCGGGCCCGTGGAGGAGCTGACGAGCTCGTACTCCCGACCGCAACCCCCAGGAGACGTCTTGGGGGTGTCCGGAGCCTGAAAAAGTGGCTCATCCGGAGCCTGAAACAGTGGCTCATCCGGAGCCTGAAACAGTGGCTCATCCGGAGCCTGAAACAGTGGCTCATCCGAGGGCCTGAAAAAGTGGCCCATCTGGAACCCGGTCCTTTTGGACGCGTGGTTCATCAGGGGAGACGAGAGATCCGGACTCTCAATAAAGTCTCCATCAGGTTTTGCTTTCAGTTTGTGAGCAAAAAAAAAAAAACACGCAGCGAAGCTAAGTGTTGTCTGTGTTGTTGTCTGTACTGTTTCTGTGTTTGTTAAAATTTTTAGCATGGGGCAAACTGTCGCGACCCCCCTTAGCCTTACTTTACAGCACTGGAAGGACAGCCCGAGCCTAGATTGTCAGGTTTTAGGAACTTGCTTGTTTGTCAATTATAAAATTGCCACTGACCACCTGTGAGTGGCCCCAGTTAGATCTCAGCCTTGGGCCTTGGCTCAGGGGGTCTGAGCGTGGGGGAGAACCTGTCAGTCTGAGGGGACGGCCGCTAGGGATTTTTCTTTTCCCTTGCCCCAGATGACTGGGAATTCTCCTCCGCCTTGGAAGGCCCCTGGGTCAACGTCTGCAGGAAAAAAAAAAAAAAAAAAAAAAAAAATCCTCCGGAGGTAAATAGGGGGTTTGAGTCCCCTGGTAAGTGAATGGTGGTGAGATGTTGCCCCATTCACTGAGACTTGATTTTGTCTTTGTGGCCACTTGGTTGTATTGTTAACTTTAGTGTGTGTTTGTTTTATGTTTTCTGGGGTAGGAAAGTTCTGGGTGAGTGTGACAGGCTCAATCAGCAGCCTCTGGATTCAGCCTATGCAATGTAGAACAGCACAGAGTTCCAGTAGGGATAAACTGGGGCTCATTAGTCCCCAACTCAGCCTTCAGTTTTTGTCTAGTTTGTTTTAGAATTGGTACCAGTTTTAAATGTGGATCCTTGGTTTTTGTGTTTATCTGTGTTTTTGTTATTTAGTTAAACATCTCTGGGGGAATAAAAGTTCCAGCTGGGCTGGGTCACAGACCTGCTACGCCCACCCTCCCTGTGAGGCATGGAAGGTTACTGGGCTAGTTTGGTTCCCTTCAAGCCTCAGGCTGCAATTTTCTCTTTGTGCAGACTGCCAGCAGGGAGGGTGTAAAAGGCTGTGTGCCTGGTTTGGACTTTTTCAGCTAGTCCTGACAATGTAACAATCTGTAAAGTGCTCTTGTCTACAGTTTAGTTTTAGGTGACCCCCTCCCCCAGCCCTCCTCCTACAGAAGGGATTCAAAAGACTAATTAGTGAATTGCCTTGCTAGATAAGCAAGCTCTGGGAAAATAAAGCCCAACAAAGGTACCTAGTTAAAAAGAAATACTGTCTTAAATTTTTGTTTAAAAACTTTAAAAGGTGTATGTACGACTGATTGTGATTTCTGCGCGCTTTAAGATCTGTGTGATTGCTTTGTGTGTGTCTGTGAACATGTTCAAAGATAAAAATTGTCAGCATGCTGTAACAATTGGGTGAGTTTAAGTTTACAAATTCAAAAGGTTATGAGGTTTGGACATTACCAAAGATTTTAAAAATCTTCACATTGTGTTAAATGGCTTTGTAAAGATTCTTTAACTTGCAAATTAGAAAATCTGGTATTTTAAAAGACTAATGTTTTAAAATGCATAAGACTGTTTATTCTGTAATCAAGTTATCTGGCTTAACAAAAAAGCATTGGCAGTTTGGGATCTAATTTCCTTGGCTAAAATTTGGAGATAAATATTAAAAATTTAAATGTAAAGGTTAGTTTAACACTAAAACTGTATTTCATTCGAGAACCAAGAGAAGAGATGGAGAAAACCTTAGAAACCAACAGAAGACCTATCCTTAGGGGTAAGGGGTGAACAAGCAGAAGTGCAGTTCAGCTGGCCATGCATGGTGGGACAGGCCCTGGGAGGAGCCCACGCAGGGTGAAAGAGGGTAAGCTGGCACAAGCGCAGTTCATCTAACCCTAAAGAGTCAGATTGGGTGTGCCCATTCCATAGAAGGGGCCGAACAGCCCATCTTTGTTTTCTCTTTTCTCTGCAGACAGACACTGAAAACATGATGGTTAAAATGAGTGATGTGATGACCTGATTAGTATTGCTAAAACTTCCCCTTGGATGTGCTAACATTAAAATTAGAAAGGCCTTAAAAAAGGGGGCCAAAAAGTTATTTGTATAATGTGGCTTACTTTCAATTATGTTCTACAATTAAGATGTTTTTAAAAGTTATAAAGGTGTTAAGTCTAGCTTCGTGGTATAGTAAAGGTGACTGTAATTCCTACATTAAAAAAAAAATTGTCATTTGAGTGTAAAAGTTTTAATGTGTAAAAACAAGCAGCCAAGAGACAATGAGTGACACTTGGCCTCAAGATTTTAAGAGGTTTTTTTTAATGCAAATAAAAACTAAAGTATATTAAAAAAAAAAAGATTAGTGGAAAACTTTAAAAAAAAAATAAAAAAATGGATTTTGAAATATAAAGTTTAAATGTAAAATTGTTCTTGACATTGGCCTCAATGTGCACAAAGGGAAAAATTAAAATTACCAAAATCCAAAATAATTGCTATTCTAGCTTGCTCTTATAGGTTTTTTTAAGTTTCCAGCAAGCCCAGAGCAAAGCACAGAGGATTCTTACAAGTTTGTCAGATGTAACTTTGACTCTTAATAAGTTTCAGGTAAGAGCATGCTTAAAAGCTACTTCTATGTTGACCACCTTGTTGCTTTTAATTGGAGTAAAGTGGACTTTTATAAGACGCATTGATCTGCAAACTGGTTCGAAGCCAGCCCGGGCAGAAAAAGGTCCCTGTGAGACTGTCACCTCTATTCAGCCAGCAGAGTACTAGCCCTGGACTAAAGAGTCAGGGGACAGTACTCAAGCGCCAAGCTCAAGACTCATAGTGGCAGAGTACTAGCCCTGGACTGAAGAGTTAGGGGACAGCATTCAAGCCCTGAGTCTGGGACTCAAAGTGGCAGAGTGCTAGCCTTGAGCTGTAGAGCTGAGGGACAGTGCTCAGGCCCTGAGTTCGAGTTCAGCAACCAGCTAAAGGGAAATGCCAATGAGGCATTTATCCCAATGTGGAGAAGACACTCCTGGGACAAAAGCAATGGAGGAGCATCCAGAGGCAGTAAGCCACTGCTTGGATGGCAGAAATGTCAGATCCTAGAGTCATTTGTGCGTGGCCTTTCAAAACTGGTCAAAGCCGGGAGGTCATAGGAAGATAGTTTGGAAGCATGCCTAATGTTCATGACTACCTTGTAAGGGACAAGAACTTGCCAGTCCTCTGTGATAGTAAAAAGCTAATGTTATAAAATGTGGGGGATAGTTTAAATCTCAACCCCTTCATGTGCCAAAAAGCTCTAATTGGCAGCTCTAATTGAGCTGACACTAGTTACATGAAGTTCATCTGCTCAGAAAAAGGTTTGCAAACCTGAGTGTGTTTCTATTGATATCTGTCTAAAGGCCTGCAAAGGTAACTTAGGCATCTTAGGCATTGTTGAGATCACATTCCTAAGCCATCTAGGAAGATGCTTTTACAAACCAGAGTGCTAAACAAGCTACACTGCTGTAGCCGGAGAAAAGGTCTGTACAGTTGTCAAATGTTAAGTTCTTAATGACATCTAACCCTGATGGCCTCTTTAAGGTTATAGGTTCCTGGCTAGGTAAGATCAACGCCCCTGAAGTCAGCTTGAAGAAGTTACAGAAGATTGACCTTCGCCCTTCTACCCCCATTTTAAGATCAAGGGTCCAGAGTCAGTTTTGGAAAAATGAGGCAAAATAGATAAAATAATTTTTTTAAAGGCATAAAAAAATAGTGCTAACAGTTGTTGATATGCAAGGTGTGGAGACTGCATCTGTCAGAGATGGTTACAAGACTAAGCCTCCTGAGCCTTCTGTGTCTATTTACAAAAATATCTGGTTAGTAAAAAAGTTGTGATGGGCTATTGTTTAAAAGATCTTAAAGACCAGCAGGATCAAAGCCTGCCAAGCCTATGCAATGTATCTTTAACCAGTCTGTGTAGGAATTTACAGCCCAGCATGAGGTGTGACAGTCCCTTGGAGCCACTGAGAGACCCTGCTGCTGCTGCTGCTGCTGCTGCTGCTGCTGCTGTTGCTGCTGCTGCTGCTTCTGCTGTTGCTGCTGCTGCTGCATACCCTAATGGGCAAAGTTCAATGACAGCCAGACAGCCACCTGGAGAAACTCCTGCCTGATCCTATCACCTGAGTCTGCTTCCTGGTTGACTGCTGCTAAATCTAAAATCTTGTGGGACATTCTTTTGGGTGATATCCAGAAACCCTCTCTTCCCACAGTGGATATTGGGGACAAGGATATCACTGGCTTACTTGTCTTAGGCACTTCAGTGCATAGTGACTGGAAATCCACTCTATGATCACAGCCTAGTTTGGCTCTGGTACGGTAATAACCTGAGTGTGTTATCAATGGAGGTAATACTCTTAGCCTTAAAATCTAGCAAGCTTCTGCATCACGGTGGTGCCTTCAGGCTGTTCTACATACTCCTGCAAATTTGGCCCCGTATCACCTACCACCCTGATGACAGCGAGAATTGACACCCCAACAGAGCTGGTACGAAGGATTATGGAACAAGTCCCCATGGTTCACTACCCTGTTATCCTCCCTGATGGGACCACTAATACTGTTAGTACTAATTCTTACCTTAGGCCCTTGCATTGTAAGCCGCTTGATACAATTTATAAAAGACCGCCTATCAGTGGTACAGGCCCTGGTGCTAACCCAACAATACCATCAACTTAAAACAACAGAGGAAGCCCCGGTTGAATGAAGGA